GTGAGTAGACCACATTATCTCACCCCTTTGTTGTTGCTGTTGTCTAAAAGTGGGAAAAGACCGGTGAGGGAACCGATGCTCTTCTTTTTATTGCCACAGAGGTTTAGGGTGCAGCTGTTAAGCTGTTAAGCTAGACTAGCTGAACTGTGTTCAGGCTACACTTCTGGTAGAAACATTGACAGATTGTAGCCCTTTGAGGAAACAATCCCATACTTGGAAGGAGCAGCATTTGTTGCTGGTCAGGTGATTTTTGCTCTGGAAGTAAATGAATCTGGTTGATTGGTAGGCTGCTAGGCCTGTGGGGGCTGGGCGGAGGCACAGAAGGGAACCCTTAATGAGCCTACTGAACATTGAGATGTGTTGCCAAACAGCTTGTTGTTCAAATCCGTGTGAGATAGAAGATATATGGTATTTAGTGAAGCGTGCCATCTATTCCAGCTCTGCCTGCGTAGAAATCTTGCACATGTTTGTATTTGAACTTTCTGTTCAAGATTTAGAGGAGCCTTGGCTGATCTTTCACTGGGTTGCCTGGTCCCAGCACATTTGGCAGAGAATCACCCCATAAAAATGGCAGTTTTAAAGCTAAATAGTAGACAGGAAAGATTTATGGTTTTACAATGCCTGGAGAAAAAGGGGAGACCCTGCAGTGAATAGCAAAGAGTTCAACTTTAATCCGTTTAGATCTAGAAAAAGGAACTGGGCAGAATATTTGTTGTGAAATGTCTAAGTCCGTGCTCACTGAGTAGTTTTCTTTAATGCGATGTTTTCATTTCTATTCTGAAATGCTTATTTATAGTGTGGGTCTTTTGTGTGTGTCTCTCTGGAGCAGCAGCCTATTTAGCCAGGGGAGTTATTACCAAGCATGAACAGAACTTGTGTTTTTGTCAGGAGAAGCCTTTCAAGTTTTACTATACAGGGTCTGGGAAGGGTGGGGGTAGTCAAAGGGGATGCAGGGTGACAAATACCAGGTGCTTGATTCTCTTCAGGCGAGCAACCCTGGTGGCCAAGCACCGGGCCCAAACAGAGTGCTGTTCTCATTTGTCTTGTGACCGCTTGTTTGATCTCAGTGTTTTTCTCTGAGCCTGAAAAAGCACAGAGGAGGAAATGTGGAGTTGGTGACGAAGAGACAGGAAAGTGTTCTCTTGTGTTTGCTTTGGTTGGGTGTTTAGCAGACTGGATGTCTTTTGAGTGTTTACACCTACGTCTGTGTAGTTCGGTCACTAAAGAGCCGCTTACGGGGTTGGGTTTGGGATTTCTGTCTTCTTTTTGTTCAGCTGGGGTTTAAATTCACACTTTTACAAAGCTACTTGTTTTAATAGTTTTGTTGGCAATTAGCATCTTCAGAAATGTACCATGAGCTTTTTCACATAGTAGCACAAGGTTGAACAATGTTGAGACATTTTGCAACCTAGCTGTATATTAAAGAGCAAGTGAACCCCTACCAGAGTCTAACTCCACTCCCACTTCATGTTTGAAAAATGCAACAAATGCTGTTGCCTGGCAGACCGAGAAGGCGGAGCTGCTAACAAACACACACACAGGCTCACAACAGCACTGTGACATCATAATGTACCAGTTTACATCATAGCATACCTCTTAGCCAATAGCGGTGGCAGATTTAAATTAAAATACAGTGCAGAGTTTTTACCTGACAACGGCACAACACTGCCAGTTTTAGGCAGAATATTTCAATTTTAACTAAGATGCACTGAAGTGCCAAATTATTGACGACACGTGTCTGCAGCACCATTAGACACTCGTTTATTTAGTTTATCAGCAAAAAAAAGTTTATTTGGGGGTGACTTGCTCTTTAATGTTCCTGTTTCTGCTGCTAGCATCTTCTTTAGTGCGAGCTACTCAATTCCTAGAGCCATACATTATAAAACATGGGTTGGCTTAACATAAGTTAGTTCATGTCTAAGTTTGAATAGACCTTTTTTACTGGTTCTAACGCAACAACTATTGCATAAATGTTGAACTTGCAACTTTCATTTGACCAATTCAGTCTGTTTGATGTAGCCAACAAAATGTGTTCTTGCCTTCCTCAAACACGATCTCATTGAAACAACTTAACCCTTAAACCAAGTTTTTTCATTCACCTTTAGGTTTGAATTAAACAAATTTCAACTACATTTTCTTCTTCAACATTTAATTTACAAATAGTTTATTACATGTCCACTTCAGTGGACAGCGTGCGTTCTAAACATGACATATGTTGGGGACCTCAAATGCAATAAAGTCTTCAACAACTGCTTAGTAGCAAAAAAATCATTAGCATTTGGAGTGGCTGTCCACTGTAGGGTTGTCACGGTAACCGGTGTAGCGGTAAACCCCGGTAAAAAAAGTTGACAATAATAATAACTGTCTTGTTTTTTAAAACATATATTATCTCGGTGGATTACCGTGGCTGCGGTGTAGGCGCGGTGACCCTTACCAGCCACCGTATCATCTGCTGAGGTTGCCGGCGGCACATGCGCACTTTGTTGTTTACAACCAAAACTTTCTTGAAGCTAAAGCTGAAATAATGGCCAAAGGAGGAGACGGCAGCTCTCAGGACATTTATTATCCCTCAAAGAAGACAAAGTGGGAAGTACGGGCATTTTTTGGATATCTGAAGAATGCCGAGGGACAGCTGATAGAAGACGGCTATCCTGTTTGCAGCACGTGCAGAAAAAGTGTCTGTGAAAGGCAGCAACGCTTCAAATCTCATGACACATCTGCGTGACCATCACTCACAACTCTACAGCCAACGCAAGGCAAGCTAACGTTAGCGTTTTAGCTAAAATGCGTGATCCGAGGATTTGGGTTGAGGGAGAACGCAACGAGTCGCTATATAAAGCAGCCGCAGCGCCGCTACCTGCATATAAACCGTGTCGCGGACACCGCCATGTTGAAATGACGCTATGCATTACGGGGCTCCCAGGGGCAGATAAGAGTTGGTCTCTCTCCGAGAATAATTATGAATTTAACAATGATTACTGCCTGATGACATTTTCCCACATCTGCAAAGCTCACTGGAAGGACACAAACCGAGGACGATATTTTCCTGATATAGGGTTTATTACTCAAGTAAGGGTAAAAAAGTATCTGATTAGAAGGCTACTTGAGTACTGAGTATCATCTGGTCTAATATTTTTTAAATGATGACATCAAACAGACATAAAATAAGAAGTTATGGGCAAATATTGGTATTTTAAAGACTAAAGGGAAAAAATGTAAACAAATAAACATAATTACTAAATAACACATTTTAGGCTAAATTTAAACACAAACTGAGGACAAAATTTTCCTGATAGACAGGGTTTATTTAGTTGTCTGAAAATGTAACACGTTTGAAATAAATACCGCGATAATACCGAAAACCGTGGTAATTTTGGTCACAATAACCGTGAGGTTACATTTTCACACCGTGACAACCCTAGTCCACTGTAGTGACCATTATGCATGAAAGGGTTAAATAAGTTCCCTAATTGAACTTGGTATTTAAGTAGACATTTTAAGTTACCGTAAATCCTCTAATACAGGCCCGGGCCTGTATTTGACTCAAGCTCATCAAGCTCCAGGCCTTTATTGGAAGGAGGGCCAGTATTAGAGGCAGGCCTCTATTTCTATTTGAGCAAAATGAACTAATGGTTCGCTGGAGTCTTTGACAATTAAAATTGTGCCCACATTTTCAAAGTTAAACACATTTCTTTTAACAACGGTAGTTTCTGCCTCAGCCCTCTCCCCCCTCCCCCTGCGCAGCAGCCGCAAACTCACTGATGCGCCTGCAGCCTCTCGGAGTTCCTGCTGCTCTAAACATTAAAATAATTATTTCATTTTCTGTTCCTCACTTCTGATTACCTTCAATGGTGTCTGTTTGTTGCAACCACCAGGTACAAAAACTAACTTGTTTTTATTTGACTATTTTTCTGTCCTGTCTGTTTATTATCTTCCTGCATCTCCTCTCAGTCCTAAAGAGAAACTGCTACCTGGGTTCATATATATTCACCTCATGAGTTACCTTTGAACTGCAGTTCTAAAACATCTACCGACCGCAAAAACAGCGGAGCGCTCGCTGTTTGGCGGCCGTATCAGTGATCAGTGCGTCGGAGGACAAGGTGATGCGCGCAGCGCCCCGCTCCACAGCATGCGGCGAAACGCATCAGGCGCAAATAAAAGACAGAAAACATTAAAGGAAATGAACTGACATGAACGATCGCGTGTCAGTAGCTAAGGTCTGGCACAGCGCGTTGCTGATCACAGAGAATGTGATCATACGATAATTCAATAGGGAGCGTGGTTTCACAGACGCGGAAGTGAGAGCGTCGGTGAAACACCGGCTGCTCTAGGAAACCCCCGAGCGTTCGAGTGTCAACGAAGTGACACGGAAATGCCGGGCTTTCCAGAAGTAAGTAAGATAACTTACTATGAGCTGATAGTTCGTTGGATTGATTGGTAGGTTGGAAACTCTGATCATGAATCTGAAGAAACGATGACTGAGTGGTGAGCTGGAAAGGCGACTTCCGTTTGGTTTATAGCCGCGGTTTGTGACGTAGGTGCGACGTGGAGGGAATCCCCGCGAGGGGCATGCTGGGAGTCCCTACTTCGCGGATTTTCACCTATCGCGGCCAGGTCTGGAATGCATCTACCGCGATAAACGAGGGATTACTGTAGTTCATACACCCCCTACTGCTGCTCTCCAGAGTGTTCTGCAGCATAATCAGCACGTTCTCTTTGAACTTGATAGTGTAATGACCTGGCTGGGGTTGTAAGCCAGGTGCATTCTGGGTATTGTGTTATATGTGTTTCCTATCGTTCCGCTAGTTCCTATGTGTTGATTTGGTGTTGTGTGAGTGTTATGTAAGCCACAGGGAAGATGATGTGTGTTCTGTGGAGCGGGTTGAATTAGCATGGTTAACTGACACCATGACTCTGTGTGGTAGGAGCGTGATAGAGGATCATGTCTGTAGCGTTACAAAGCGTTGAAAAAAAGCCTAATAAAGGTCTGCGTGAACCCC